CGCTCGCATTTATTTCACACCTGCTCTACACCAAACATTCTTCTAAATGCTTTACGTGTTTTAATTCATGCCATTTTCACAACACTATGAGAGAAGCACTATTGTTCCCATTTTACAGATGAGGAAACCTGAGACAGCGAGAGGCTAAGTAATTTGCCCAAGATCCTGCAACCAGAAGTGTCAGATAGAATCCAAGCCCAGATGGCCTGCCTCTGAGGTGCAGGGAAGGAGATTGCCTTGCCGAGGTCTTGTGGTGGATTAAGAGTAGATTCTGTCTGGGGCGCCTGGGTGGCGTAGTCGGTTAGGCGTCCGACTTTCGCTTAGGTCATGATCTTGTGGTTCGTGGGTTCGAGCCCCACATCGGGCTCTGTGCTGACTGCCAGCTCGGAGCCTGGAGCCTGTTTCAGAGTCTGTGACTCTCTCTCTCTCTCTGGCCCTCCGCTGCTCGTGCTGTCTCTCTCTCTCTCTCTCTCCTAGAAATAAATAAAACATTAAAAAAAAAAAAGTAGATTTTGTCCTGGGGCGCCTGGGTGGCTCCGTCACTTAAGCGTCTGACTTCAGCTCAGGTCATGATCTCACGGTTGGGTTTGAGCCCCACATCAGGCTCTGTGCTGACAGTTTAGAGCCCGCTTTGGATCTTCTGTCTCCTCTCTCTTCCCCTCCCCTGGTCATTCGCTCTCTCTCTAAAAAAAAGTAGATTCTGCCCTAAAAATAAACAAACATCCCTACATATAAAAAACCCAAACTCACAGATACAGAGAACAAATGAGGGATTGCCAGAGATTGGGGCTGGGGAATGACTGAAATGGTCTGTCAAAAGGTACGAACTTTCAGGAATTAAATAAATAAGTCATGGGGATGTAATGTACGACATGGTGACTATGGTTGATAGATAATGTGGTAGTGCATGTTTGAAAGTTGCCAAAAGAATCGATCTTCAAGTTCTCATCATGAGAAAAAGAGCTTGTAACTCCGTATGGGAACAGACGGTAACTACATTTACCGTGGTGATCATTTCACAGTGTATACAAATATTGGACCATCATGTAGTACACCCGAAACAAATACGATGTGATATGCTCATTGTATACCTCATTATACCTCATCGTATATGCTCATTATACCTCAATGAAAAATTTTAACACAATTACATTCTTAAAAAAGAGCAGATTCTCTAAACCAGTGGTTCCCAGGCGGGGGTGCCTTTCTTCCCCAGGGGACCTTTGGCATGTCTGGAGACCTTTTTGACCATCACAACAACTGGCTGGGGTGCTCCTGGGATCTAGTGGGGAGGCTAAACACCTGGCACATAACAACGGCAAAGAATCATCGGTCCCAAAGGTCACGAGGGTTGAGGTCAGTAACCCTGATCTAAACTAGTCAGAGAGTAGTGAGTCTACCCCTTGTCCAAGTTGAGGGGTTAGACTCAGAACTGGGAGAGGAAATAGGGGAGGCTTCCAAAGGAAGCCTGCACAACTCGGCCATGCTGCTGTAACAAATAGACCAAATCACGGGGCTCAGATAAGAGACTTTATTTCCGCGCACGTAGCTGATCAGAGGCAGAGGCAGGCGGCCAGGTGGCTCTGGGGCATAAGGTGTTGCAAGGCTTAGATTTCCTTTTGACTGCTTGCTCAGGAATTCCCTGAGGTGTTGGCTTGTTTTGCATGATTGAGATTGGTTCACTGCCCCCCCCACCCCCCCCACCCCCGTGTCTGCATTCCAGCATATACACAGCAGGAAAGAGGAAGTAGAATAGAAGCAGAAGTATGTCCAGAGCTGACACCAGGCTATATCAACCTGTGAGAATAGATCGTTAAATCTACAGGAATTTTGGAAGCTGATTGTTAAACCCAACCTTTATTAAATTATAGAAATGTACAGTTAAGGGGCACCTGGGTGGCTCAGTTGGCTGGGTGTCCGACTTCAGCTCAGGTCATGATCTCTTTGTTCGTGAGTTCGAGCCCTGCATTAGGCTTTCTGCTGTCTTCACAGAGCCCGCTTCGGATCCTCTCTCTCTGCCCCTTCTGCACTTGCTCTCTCCCTCCCTATCTCTCTCAAAAATAAACATTAAAAAAAAAAAAAGAATTTTTTAAGAGCACCTGGGTGGCCCAGTTGGTTAGGTGGCCAACTTCAGCTCAGGTCATGATCTCCCGGTTTGTGAGTTCGGACCCCACATTGGTCTCTGTGCTGACAGCTCAGAGCCTGGAGCCGGCTTCAGATTCTGTGTCTCCCTCTCTCTCTGCCCCTTTCCAGTTCATACTCTGTCTCTGTCTCTATCTCTCCAAAATAAATAATAAAAAACATTAAAAAAATAAAAAATAAAGAGAAATGTACAATTAAATAAATCATATTAAAAACAAAGTTAAGACGTGCTCAAATCGTATCACTTCCTGATTTACTACTTTCTGTTAGTTGCTAGGCACTTGAGATTTTCATATCTGTTTTCCCATATTGTGGAAACACTGCATAATATGTTCTTTGGCACATCCCTTCATGACTTTGCACTCCATGACCTCACACTGGTAGCTTGAAGTCAGTCGCGGTAGTAGTATTTACACCACCACCTCTACAAATCAGAGCTTGATGGTTTGTTTTGTTGACTATCTAAATTTTAGAAAGTGATCAAAAACACTAATAATATAGATTCAACCTAAAACTGGGTTGTACCTACAGCCATTACATTGTGAATAGCCCAAGTCAAGTAAGTAGTCTTCCAGAACTTGAAAACTGATGCGATTCAGCAAAGAAGTTGCTCATATCACTGACGAAGTGTGACAACGAATGCCTTAGTTGTTTCACTTTTGCCTTACTTGTTGATGTGAAAGAAAATATCAGCTGACACTCATGATGAAAGCATTCACATCCATCACTGATGTCGGCAACATTTTGCTGAAACTGGCAATAATCAAATATTTATGGTAGTCTGATTTTGTGACGTGGTTGCTGGTGATGGACCTATAAAAACTGAGCGGGTTTTGCGAGAAATTCCAAAGCACACTGAAGTTACAGGTGTGTGGGATTTGCAGTAAAGAGTAGATGTATTTTATTATTTGTAAACTGTATGCTATGCATTCTTTACATCAGTAAAATTTAGAACAAAAATGTGTGTGTATGTGCATGTGTGTATACTTTTCTTTTTTTTCCTGGAGAGCCATTAAACAGTTATCGCGACACCACCACACATATTGCATCCCCACACATTGCATTGGCAGGAATGTAGTCAAATGGCCACTCTTAGCTTCAAGGGATGCTGGAAACTGTAGTCTGTAGCTGGGTGGCCATGGGCCCCACTAACATAAAGGCTTTGTAGGGGAGCCCTGCTCCATATACTTTCCTTACCGAGAGAACTAGCTGACTCTGGTCAGCCATTTGGATTTTCCAAGGCCACGGTTATGGACTTCTTGTACGTTCAGCTGAATGCCAGCCTCCAGAGTTACCTCTAGCTCCCTCACAGAATTTCAGGAAGGTACAGAGTATACTGTCCTGAAGGGACACATTCCCAGACTTTGCCCTTTACCTTCAAGTGCCTGCTTCCTGCCCTTACCTTCACTGCTTGCATCCACAATCCTGAGAGGCATTCCAGCAGAGCCAGACTCCAGCGTGGCCTTTGAGTTGTTTTGTGCCCCAGACCAATGTTTGAGGAGTATTAATATGGGTCCTGGAGTGCCTCTATAAAATAGGGATAATAAAAATATCTTGAAGGGAGGGGCGCCTGGGTGGCTCAGTCGGTTAAGTGTCCCACTTCGGCTCAGATCATGATCTCGTAGTTTGTGAGTTTGAGCCCCGTGTCAGGCTCTGTGCTGACAGCTCAGAGCCTGGAGCCTGCTTCAGATTCTGTGTCTCCCCCTCCCTCTGCCCCTCTGCCTCTGTCTGTCTCTGTCTCTCTCTCTCTCAAAAATAAATAAACATTAAAAAAAAATTTTTTTTAATACCTTGAAAGGTGATTGTAACAGCCAACAAAACTTGGGGAAGTTTTGTTGCCTAAAAACTATAATTCAAATGTGAGGAGCAATAAAGCCAAATTCCTACCTGACTGGTTTGTGATCAGGTTCAGGTAAGGCCTTTGTAAAACCATTAAGTACTAGGCTGATATATACTATTCTGATATTGGCATATTACATTTTTAAGTACGTAAGGAAAAATTATTGACTATTTTATTACAACAAAAGCAATACTATTAAAAATTTAGAAAATGTAGGGGCGCCTGGGTGGCTCAGTCGGTTGGGCGTCCGACTTTGGCTTGGGTCATGATCTCACTGTTCGTGGGTTTGAGCCCCACATCAGTCTCTGTGCTGACAGCTCAGAGCCGGGAGCCTGCTTTGGATTCTGTGTCTCCCTCTCTCTCTGCCCCTTTGCCACTTGCATTCTGTCTCTCTTTCAAAAATAAAATAAAAACATTAAAAAATTTTTGTTAAAGTTTAGAAAATGTAAAGTACAAATAAGAAACTAAAAATACATTATACCACCACTCAGAGATAACCACTATTTATATTCTGGTAGAGCTCCAATAACTATTAACTCATGGTCATGTTTGTTTATTTGGACTCCCATCTATGCCCTCCAACCACCCCCCCCATAAGATCATGTTGAAGAAAGTCCCAGACATCGTATAATTTTATCAGAAAAATTTCAGTATTTATCCTTAAATTTAAGGACATAACCTTAGTATAAATATCACACCTAAAAATGCATGTTTGGGTCCAGGGGGCATGGTTATCTCTGTCAGTACCTTCCACTCAATTTTGCTATGAACCTCAAACTGCTCTAACAACTAAAGCCTATTTAAAAAAAAATAAGTTACTATTATCAAAGGATGATCATTATTCAAATTTCCCCAGTTGTCTCTTCTTTTTTTTATAGAAGTTGTTTTCTTGTATTTTTGAATATTGGGTGTTTGTCTTTTTCTTCCTTATTTGCCAAGCTCTTAATATGTTAAGGGGATTAACTAAGGTGACATTAATTATTATATTTACTCTAATTATTTACTGTTATTCTTCCAGAGGAAACCATGGAAACTTCAGGACCTTCCTCCCAGACTCAAGATCACAGTCGAGTCCCTGGAGAAACAGAAGACCTAGACTGTATGTTTGCCTCCTCTCACCCTCTGGGCAAAGCTACATGGGACGTAGAGTCCAGCCCGGCTGGTGGGACATGAGAGTCTCCTTAGCTCCTGTTTCAGAGCGGCTCAAGTCAGAGTTGAATCTTCTAGAGAAGTAGTGTTTTACACTCGTGCACGCGCGCGTGCACACACACACACACACACAGCTGGTCCAGTCTGTCTCCTAGAACTCTCTAGCTTTGCAGACGCTCAGCTGCTTCCCAAATTTCAAGGGGGTTCTGGGGACTTAGGCTGGCACTGCGGAGGGTCCTGAGAAGGCAGGACCGGTCCTGTTCGGCCCCAGAACGGGGGAGAAAGTTCGCTTGACCAGATCATACCTGCCCTGTACGTCACAGTGAACCCTATGTTGGCAACACAGTCTAGTGACCTCCAGCAGGATGGGGGCTTAGAAGCCCTTCTCTAGTCTCCATATTCAGAAAAATTTATGCCCAAGAACTTCCTAAGCCCCTGAGGTCTGTGAGAACTCTGATCTCCTGCACTGCCCACTGGCTCTACAGGCTTGGGAAGAGTATCCCAGCCATTCGTGGCCCCCAAGTCCAAGTAGACACCGAGGGAGGTCTTGGGGGTCTCTGGGGTAGGAAGTGCGACAAACACTCATGCTTGTCTATGTGTAACTCCCAGATGGAGAGACGGATTTGCACAAGCAAGACACGGAAGCCAGACTCTTTCCTCAAGAACAACCCAAGAGAGACAAGGGTTTTACCTCCTCCTCTTCATCTTCCTCCTCCTCTTCCTCCTCGTCATCCTCCTCTTCAGGTACCGCAAAGACTAATACATGTGTATATATCTTCATAATATTATTCAAGAAAAGCATTTACATGAGAAAACCATCCCCTATCATCTCCCGCCTGACACTTCGGTTGTATTTTTCCACATTCCCTTCCAGACCCTACCGATCGGTACACGTGACCTGGACACAGTTATAACTGACCACATGGACAATTTTGTCCTCTGTTTAAACATTTTTGCTCTCGTATCCTGAGTGTTGTGTTATTCTATAATATTGTTGCAGCTAACTTTCAGGCTTTCCCAGAAAGCCTCTCAGTGGCTGCGTCTCCTGTAAAGTAATTTTAGGCTTCTCAGTAGCGCTCTGCTGTTGAACTCAACGCGCCTGTCTGTTCAAGCAGCCTGCCTGGGTCCAAACCCTTTCTTTGCCACTCGCTGGCTATGTGTCCTTGGGTAAACTGCTAAACCCTAGGTGCCTTGGGACCCCCATCTATAAACTGGGGATGATAACAAAAGCCACTACCTCATGGAATTATTGGGAGGATTACATTCTTTACACATCTAAGGGCTTGGCACCTAACCGCACAGAGTAACGGCTCTAAAAAATAACTGTTAAGATTACCCCCTGGGGGGGGGGGCGTCGGGGTGGCTCAGTGGCTTAAGCGTCCAACTTTGGCTCAGGTCATGATTTCACAGTATGTGAGACGGAGCACCATGTTGGGCTCCGCACTGTCAGCTGGAGCCTGCTTGGGGTTCTCTCTCTCCCTCAATCTCTGCCCCTCCCTGGCTTGTGCTCACCCTCTCTCTTTCTTTCTAAATAAACACACACACACACATACACACATATATATATATAAACATATATATAAACATATATATATGTGTGTATGTATGTATGTATATATAATCCATAGGCACACATTTGTCCATTCATGCATTAAACAAATCCTTACTGTCTTCTAAGTGCTGAGAAACTAAACAGACAGGGATAATGATCCCCGGGTCATAAAGCTTAGATTATATGGAAGAAGCTAAGACGATAAGCAAATAAGTAAAAGATGCCATGTAGGGGCAGCTGAGTGGCTTAATCGGTTAAGCATCTGACTCTTGATTTCAGTTCAGGTCATGATCTTACAGTTCATGAGTTCAAGTCCCGCATTGGGCTCTGAACTGTCAGCGTGGAGCCTGCATGGGATCCCCTCCCTCCCTCTCTCTCTCTCTCTCTGTCCCTTCCCTACTCACATATTGCATTTTCTTTTTTTTTTTACACATTGCATTTTCTCTCTCAAATTAAACTTTAAAAAAAAAAAAAGATTATCCCCCAACCTCACCACCAGCTTAGCATGCTCATAAACATCCTTGCTCAAAAGCTTTTACTTTTTGAAGTTTTCACACACATCACATCCTGAGCATCGATTACCCACAAGTCCTTTAGTGGGTCTAGGGGCACGAACATCTCCAGATGGGTCTTGGTTACAAATCTCCACATTATTCTCTGACAGAAAGCAGAATGTTCTTTCTTTTTTGTTCTCTTAATTCAACATGTTAGGCTGCTCTCCTTACATATCTTTTTTAATGTATCCTGTTGCTTTTTAATTAAAACTTTGTATTGTGCAAGATTACACATAGGAACACTGTGTAAAAAAAAAATGTGAAGCATATAAGGAAGTAGAAAGAAGAAGAAAATCATCCTTTGCTCTGTCACCCAGAGATAATCACTAACCACGTATTACTATGTTTCCTTACATTTATTCAGTAAATATTTGTTAAGCACCAGCATGTGCCAGGCTCTGGGATGGGTACTGGGACACCAGGAATTAACTGTGTTTCTGCCAGGATTAATTTTTTAAACAATTGAATTAGAGAGCATATATAAAAATTGTCGTCATTTTAGAAAGCATTTAATACTATAATACCTTTTAATACTATAACTATAGTACCTTTTGTTAAAAATTGCATATTATAAATAAAGCCTAGAGAAAGCTACAATAATGTTCATTTGCATGTTGATGAAGGTTGTCCCTGGCTGATAGAATTTGGAATCATTTTTTGTTTCATTGTCTGTGTTGGTTTATATTTTGCAAAACGCCATGAAAAAGCTTTCTTTTCCTACATTGATTAATATTTATAAAACACAGAAAAGAAGAAAATAGAAGCTAACCAAAATCCCATCTTCTGAGATAAATACTGCTATTGTAATCTCTTTTTTCTTAATTTAACTTTTTTTTAGAGATAGGAAGAGGAGCAGAGAGAGAGGGAGAGAGAGAATCTCAAGCAGGCTCCGTGCTCAGTGCGGAGCCAGACACAGTGCTCGATCTCAGGACCCTGAGGTCATGACCTGAGCTCAAACCAAGAGTCAGAAGCTCCACCAACTGAGCCACCCAGGCGCCCCTGATACTGTAATCTTGATGTACTTCCTGATCCCTTTTTCTCTGTACCTAGCTGGGATCACATAAGCACTGATTTTAAAACAGTTAATTTAGCTTCCTGGAAATTTAAAACGTATCCATGACTGAGCAGGAGCCCCGCAAGCACACTGAGGGACATTCCCACGCCGGAGCCAGTCGGTCATCCTCAGGCAGAGGGAGTCCCCTGGACCCGAAGTCAGGAACGCCGGCCCCCAGGCCTGAATTCCTGCAACGCTGACTGGTCCAAGAGTGCAAACAACCCTGTCATTCTCCAAGTCTTGATCAAGCTCCTCCTCCCGGCCGGGCACCCTGACAACAGTGGGGACCCAGGCCTTGGCCTTCAGGAGCTCAAGCCGGTTGGAGAGACCAGCACCATCACCGCTGGCCCACATGCCCGCTGTGTCAAGCACATGTAGCTGATGCGATCGTAACCCAGATGAGGGAGGGCAAAGATGAGTGTGAGCTGGGGCAGCTAGAAAAGCCTCTCTAGGGGCGCCCGGGTGGCTCAGCCGGTTGGGCGTCTGGCTTCGGCTCAGGTCATGATCTCACAGTCCGTGGGTTCGAGCCCCGCGTTGGGCTCTGTGCTGACAGCTCAGCTCAGAGCCTGGAGCCTGCTTCACATTCTGTGTCTCCCTCTCTCTCTGCCCTTGCCCCGCTCACTCTGTCTCTGTCTCTCAAAATAAAAAATAAAAGACATGAAAAAATAAAGCCTTTCTACTCCTTCGTCTTCAAGATAAGGGAGACAGATAAATGGGAAAGGCCTTCCAGGTGGGAGCAAAGACAGTCCACATGATGTGGGGGGACACAGAGGTGACACGGCCCCCGTACCTGTAACAGGAAACCTCAGAGGACCTTGTCTTACCTTCATGAAAGCAGCGGTGGAAGTATTACATGAGTTGTCCGAGGTCACACAGGAAGCTTGTGGCGGATTTCCTACCCCCTCCCCCCGCCCCCAAGAGTAAATGTAAAGAAAGAACAAATGTATTTCAGGCTCGTGCAAGGCTGAGGTTCTCCTAGAGTTTGTGTTTGTTCCTTGCAGGAAGTGGTGATGAGGACCAGCACTGCAGAGTGACCGGAAAACGTCGGCAGAGCCAGGGGGCTGGGCACCCCCCAAGGGACAGCTCACCTGGTAGGTGACAGGCCTTGCTATTTCTCCTTTGCCCGCGCCCCCCCCCCCCCCGCCCCAGCTCCCGGTTGAGTTTCTCAGTGGGAGTGAGCGGGCCTGCGTGAAGATGTCCTCACAGCAGTGTCTATAGTAAGGCACCAATGGCAAATGGTCTCGTGTCCAACGACAGCAAAATACACCCTTCCCTGGCTACAGTTCTGTTCATACAGCTGCGAAGTGACAAAGAAAGATGCCAAATCATATGACTGGTTTGATCGCATATGTACCCTGTAAAAATTCACGCATACATGGTCATAAATAAGCCTGGAAGGAAAAATAGCAAAACGTTAGGAGTGGTTATCTCTGGATGGTTCCATTGTGGGTGATTTTTGCTTTCACTTTTTGGACCTGTCCCATACTATATTATGCAACGAACGTGTTCTGTTTTTACAACCAGAAGAAAATTTTTGCAAAAATAAAAATTTTAAATACTGTTTGGCCTAAGTGGATTGTGGGAAGAAAAGGGCATGGGGCAAAGAGTCTGCGTTAATGCCTGCTACAGAGCCTGGCACACGGGAAATGTTTAATAAATGCTGCCCAGGAAGCCAGAGTTGGGGTCTGGGCTCTATTTCTGATGATAAAAGGGATTAGGATTGCAGGCTTTGGTGACAGATCTGGGTTTGAACCCTGGAATTGCCACTCACTGGCTGTCTGACCTTCAGGGAAGAATTTAACTTTGTGAGCCTCAGATCCCTTACCCTTTAAATGGGGCAAAGAGAGATACTAATACTTTCTTCATTGGGTTTCCATAAGGATCTAGTGAAATATTTTTTAAGTTTATTTTTTGTATTTTGGGAGAGAGAGAGAGCACACGAGCAGGGAAGGGGCAGAGAGAGAGGGAGAGAGAGAATCCCAAGCAGCCTCCCCACTGTTAGTGCAGAGCCCAAGGCAGGGCTGGATCTCATGAACTGTGAGGTCATGACCTGAGTAGAAGTCAAGAGTCAGGTGTTTAATTGACTGAGCCACTCAGCCACCCCGGGGTTCTAACAAAATGTTAAATATAAATTACTAAGTTCCGTGTTGGTATATAGTAAGTGCTCAATAAATGGCAACTCTGATTATTGACTTTGAAGGAGGCCCAGGTCCTCTCAGACCCTCAATTCTTTTCCATGACCACAGTCACCTCTGAGTGCAGGGGGGTGGGGGGGAGTCAGACAGGGTAAAGGGAAAGTACTTGTAAAGGCTGTCCTGCCTCTTGAAGGCACCCAGGCTCACCCCCAGCACAAACAAGGCCTGTGTTACTTTTTAAGCTTTCAGGTGTGGGGGAGATGGAAGCCGTCCGGGGATACCGTGACTGTGACAGTGACTGTGGAGAGCTGACTAAAAGGATATGTTTCCACCCAGGCGCTGAGCATGAGGAGCCGGACATTTTGAAGGACGAGCTTCAGCTCTGTGAAGGTAAGTCATCGTCCAGTGGCTTTGGAGAAAATGGAACTACACAGAGGACATGAGTGCTCTGGACTTTGTGGGGCAGAAACCAGACCACGAGGGTGTTTCAGTGGGCTGAGAAGTGCTAGGAAAATAAAGGCAATATGGGCGGATGAACGGTTGAACATTGGCGGATGGGGATGGGGGCGGGCATTGCTACCGTGGGGAGACTGTTCTCTCCTGAACTATAATCTTGACTTCCAGGACATCCTGGGTCAGTCAGCCAATCTTTCTGGGCCTGAGCTTCCCAACCAGCAAAATAGAACATGATTAGCACCCGCTGTCTTGGAATAGTAGGCTATGTACACGTGCCTGCGAGAATTAAGGATCTGACCTCATGGAAAAATCATCTCCAGTCACAGTGATTATTACAGCAAAGAGTTATAAACGTGACTCTTTGCCTGGGAGCACTTCGGTGAAGCAGGGGCAATTCATAGGAACGAAGCAGTTGGCCAAAAAAGCCTAAGAAATGCCTACTGCAGATACGAAAACCTGTTTAACTTTGTTTAATCCAACATTTCTATAATCTATTTAGTCTCCTAAAACCGGGTAATAACCCAAGAAACCCAACAAGAAACACATATGCGTTCTAAGAAATGTAAATAGAATGCTTTAATTTTTGCATCAAGATATTACCCGTGGCTGCCTCTGGGTGGTAGCATTGTGGGTGAATAGTTAGTTATACTGTTTTATTTGCTTACCTGAATTTTCTTTCTTCCTTCCGTCCTTCCTTCCTTCCTTCCTTCATTTCTTTCTCTTTCTTTCATTCTCTTTCTCTCTCTTTCTTTTTCTCTTTCGCAAAGTATTACTTGGTTTTTAATTACTCAACTATCGTAGAAATGGTTTCACTGGGTGTAAAATGAAAGCGAGACAAACGGTTATATTTACATATATTTAAAAAAATTTTTTCTCATCATAAAAGTAATTAATATTCCCTGAAAGGTAGGTATCACCACAGTTTGTGAATTTGTGAATTACTCTCCCCCCCAAGATATTGGAGGTTCTTAGTAAATTACACTCCTGGAGTCTCATTTCATGCTCTCTGTATACTCAGTACTGACCACTCAGGTCACCTGCAAATGATGTTTCCTATTTGCATATCGACGTAATGACCTATTTGCATAAAGACAGCTCAGCATGTTTATTGTTGTGTGCTGAGTGCCCTCCTCTGATGTTTGTGCCCTGGGGCTGACCTGAAGAATGGGAAGTGTACAGGTGTGGGGACTACCAGCGGGGGTGGGGGGGTTGGGGGGGCTCTACAAGGGGTCCTGCCTCCCTTGAGGGGAAGCATTTGACAGGCTAGCAGAGAGGTCCCCAGGGACTAGAATAGGCACTGGGAATCAGGGTGAATGGGGTGGGTAGGCCACCCCAGACCAGATTAACGGGCGGCAGCCGCTCGGGACAAGAACACAGGGCTCAAATCACCCTCAGCCACCCACACAAGGAGCTCAACCCTCAGAGGTGTGGGGCTGAGTTACTGATGTGCAGCCCAGCTTGGCTCCCCCGAACTCAGGGCCTGGTGGCGCTGGGGCCATGTGGCTAGGTGTCGTCACCCGCATCTGTGCAGCCGTGAACAGGCAAAAGTTGCAAACTGATACCCACATGTGTGCAGACATATATGTTTTATTTAGCTCAGAGTGTTATTATTATTATTGTTATTCCATTACATCAATTCTACAGCTTCTACTTTTTCACATTTAGACATCTCTAAAATCAGGATGCATCTGAAATCGCTGGCAACTTATAATTAAAATTGGCAGTGGTTTTCCTTACATAGTAATATCGAAAATAATGTCATTTCTCACAAATGGTGATGTCTTCGATTCAGTGGAATACAAGAGGTGTCAACCTTTTCTATAATCACGAAGTTGATGTAGGGGCGCCTGGGTGGCTCAGTCGGTTGAGAGTCTGACTCATGATTTCGGCTCAGGTCATGATCTCATGGTTTGTGGCTTCCAGCCCTGCCTCGAGCTCTGTGCTGACACCGTGGAGCCTGCTTGGGATTCTCTCTCTTTGCACCTCCAGCCTGTGTGCCCTCTCTCTATTAAAATAAATAAACTTTTTTTAAAAGTTGATGTAAAACCTGGCTTTTTGGCCTCTTGTGGGAAATTTGATGACCTGTAACGCTGGACAGGCATTCCTACAGTGGCTTTCAAAGGCGGGTGGGTGATGGCTGCCCCTTTAGATGGAATAGTCCCACAGCTTGCCCCAGTCCCCTCTTGACCCCCTCAGATCAAATGGAAAGTCTCTGAATGAGCCGTCTTCACCACACTATCAGTTCGCCCCACCCAGAGGGTGATGGGTATGTGACTGCTGATTTTCCTTCTGTGTAGGTGCCCCCGGAGAGGTGGTGCCCTCAGGAGAATCAGGTGAGTGTCCAGTCAGGGGAGAGGGGTTGTCAGTGCTGCCGATGAACGGTCTGGGCCTTGTCTCACCCCTGCGAGAGCCAGCTGCTTGTCAGGGTTCATGGGTGTAAGGTGGGGACTCCAAATCCACTGGGGGCCTGGGGCTCTGACCTGGGCTGAGCCAGGCAGGGGCCCAGTGCAGATTAGAAAGGGGCTTTAGGCAAGAGGCGAGGGGATTACAATCAACAATCAATAAAGATCCCTTGGGGGCTGGAGAATTTGACTCGAGATTTTCAGAGGTCACCTACTTCCTCTGCTAGGACGGAGGCACCCAAGGGCCCAAGCTAGCCTGCTATTAATGTTGAGTTTCTGATTTCCAGGTCTCCGAAGGAGAGGCTCTGACCCAGCGAGTGGTAAATATACAAACTCCGAGAGGAGAGGCGGAGGTGGCCTCCAATCCGGGGGGTTAGGGCAGGACCAGACAGCCTGACGGGGTGGGTCAGTCACAGCAGGGACAACATCACAGCCTGAGTGTCACCTTGATTCTGGGAAGGGCTTTCCAAGCTCAGGAGAAAGGAAATGGAATGCAGACTCAGGCCTGTGTCAAGAGGAAGGGGCCAGTGGGGTCCCAAGGACAGACACCGCCCACCTCCACAGCTTTGCCCTGATTGGCCCTGTGGTGAGTGCCCTCTGACCCAGGAAGAGGAACCCAGGAGAGCCGGTCTCAGTGAGGCAGAGAGGAAAACCCCACCGGCCATCCCTCGACAAAGTAAACACTTGTTTCTCTCTTGTTCCTAAGGAGAAGTGGAGGCCTCTCAGTTAAGAAGACTGAATATAAAGAAAGACGGTAAGCGGGCGCCTTGGTGGCTCAGTCAGTTGGGTGTCCAAATCTTGATCTCCACTCAGGTCATGATCTCATGGTTCCTGGCATTGAGCCCCACGTTGGGCTCTGTGCTGACAGTACAGAGCCTACTTGGAATTCCCTCTCTTCCTCTCTCTTGGCACCTCCTCCCCCTCAAAATAAATTTAAAAAGAAAAGAAAAGAAAGATGGTAAGAAAATAGGTGCCTCAGGGACACCTGGATAGCTCAGTCTGTTAAGCGTCAGACCTCGGCTCAGGTCATGATCTCAGGGTTTGTGAGTTCAAGCTCCTGTCCAGCTCTGTGCTGACAGCTCAGAGCCTGGAGCTGCTTCAGATTCTGTGTCTCCCTCTCTCTCTAATCCTTCTCTGCTCACACTCTGTCTCTCTGTCTCTCTCAAAAATAAACATTAAAAATTTTTTTAAAAAGAAAGAAAGAGAATTGGTGCCCCAGAGTTGTTTCTGCCTGTCTGGTCCAGATTCCTATGGGTAGAAAGTCCACTGGTGGCCTAGAAAAACAGCAATCATAGCCCACCTCTGTCGTGTGTCATGTTTGCAAACGCCTCAGCTTAGAATTGTGGCAAGAAGGTGGTATAATGACTCCCGTTGCACAGATATGGAAGCTAAGACTCAAGGATGGCATGTGGGCTTTCAGCTAGCGAGTTTCCCGACCTGGACTTGAACCCTGGTCCCGTGCTCTTTCTGTTCTACACTGAGTCACAGGGATGATAAATGCCCCCCAGGCCTCTGGCCGCGCTAGGGAGCTGGAGGTGGGGCAAGGAAGCCCTGAGGTTAGATTAGCCTAGACTCTGGAGGAATGGTAAGAACTGGAAGGAATTCCTTTGCTCTAAGCCTGGAGTCTGTGAGGGCTTTAGGGAGGAGGATGAGGAAGGGATGGGAGACCAGAGTGTTTGATTAAACAAATGGAAGTTGTCCTTGAAACATTTGGGGTTGTTGCAAAAGGCCACCCTCAGGGAGTGAGACACCTGGGTGGGAGCCCCTGACTCTCTGTCCAGCTAAAGGACTCTAGAACTTTCCCGGGCTATGAATAACACTGAGATTCCCAAAGTGCGGCACCGGCATTATACCCGAAAGCAAAATGGTGATTCCCCCTTCCGCTCTCCCTCCTGGAGCCCAGTCTTGGTTGGGAACCCCTGTGTCTTTAATGCCACCCTGTCGGTGTCATTGTCCTTCAGACACGACAGCAGAGCCTCCTCTCATCACAGCCCCTTGACCGAGTCCAGGGCCCTGTGTTCTCTCCCCAGTGACCTACCCCAGTGGCTGGCAAGGCACAGGGAGGCCTCACTCCAGAGCACACCTGAGCACCTGCCCAAGGCCCAGACCCTGCTCTTGGCCCCTCTCCATAACTCCGTTAACTGTGAGAGCCCCCCAAGCCTGCAAGCTCACTTCTGGGCATCGGGCCCAGACACACGTGCACAGATTCATGTCTAGCGACGTTTGTGCAGGTTTATCGATGGGGGACCAATAAATAAATTGGGTTAAGTTTATACCATGAAACACTGTGCAGCCATCAAAGAGCAGGGCAGATCTATTATGTTCTGAGATGGAAAGATGGCCCTGATCTATCCGTGAGAGGAAAAAAGCAAGTGACGGAGCAGCAGGGCTACAAATTGGTCCTGCTCTTTAAAAAAAAAAAAATCAAGTATAGTTAATACACGGTGTTGTATTAATTTCACATGCACTATATAATGATCCAACAGTTCTATACAGTTCACAGTGCTCGTCATAAGTGTATTCTCCATCCCCTTCACATATTTTTTTACCCATCCCTCACCACACCCTCCCCCGTAACCATCAGTTGGTAACCATCAGTTTGTTCTCTGTATTTAAGAGTCTTTTTTGTTTGTTTCTCTTTTTTCTCCGTATATATGCTTGTTTTGTTTCCTAAATAACACATATGAGTGAAATCATATGGTATTTGTCTTTCTCTGACTGACTTATTTCACTTAGCGTCATTCCCTCTAAGTCCATTCAGGTCTTTGCAAATGGAAAAATCTCATTCTTTTTATGGCTGAGTGATATATACATATATATATGTATATATACACACACCACATCCTTATCCATTCAACTATCAATAGATACCTGGGCTGCTTCTATAATTTGGCTATTGTAGGCAATGCTGCTATAAACATCAGAGTGCATGTATCTAGTTGAATTAGTTTTGTTTTTCTCTGAGTAAATACCCAATAGTGGAATTACTGGATTGTGTGGTAAGTCTATTTTTAATTTTGTGAGGAAACCCCACAATTGGTTTTCTACAGTGGCTGCACCAATTTGCATTCCCACTGACACTACCTGAGGGCTCCTTTTCTCCACATCTTTGCCAACACTTTTTATTTATTGTCTCTTTTACTTTAGTTGTTCTGACAGATGTAAAGTGAAAGCTCACTGTAGTTTTCATTTGCATTTCCCTGATGACTGGTGATATTAAGCATCTTTTCATTATGTCTGTTGGCCATCGGAATGTTTTCTTCAGAAAAATGTCTGTTCATGTCTTCTGTCCATTTTTTAATTGGATGATGATGATGATGATGATGGCGACAATGACAATGATGATGATGATTGTTGGTGTTGAGTTGTATATGTTCTTTGTATATTTTGCATACTGATCCCTTATCAGATATGTCATTTGCAAATATCTTCTCCCACTCACTGTGCTGCCTTTTTGTTTTGTTGATGGTTTCCTTCACTGTAAAGCAGTTTTTATCATGGTATAGCCTCATTTGTTTAATTTTGCTTTTGTTTCTCTTGCCTCAGGAGACGTATCTATAAAGAAGCTGCTATGGCCAATGTCAAAGGAATTGCTGTCTATGTTTTCTCCTAGGAAATTTGTGGTTTCCTGTCTCACATTTAGGTCTTTAATCCATTTTGAACTTATTTTTGTCTATGATGTAAGAAAGCAGTCCAATTTTATTCCTTTGCATGTTGCTGTCCAGTTTTCCCCACACCATTTGTTAAAGAGACAGTCTTTTTTCCATTGGGTATTCTTGCCTCCTTTGTTGAAGATTAATTGACCAGAAAAGCATGGCTTTATTTCTGGACTCTCTATTCTGTTCCATTGATCTATGTGTCTATCTCTATTCTAATACCACACTGTTTTGATTACTACGGCTTTGTAGTATATCCTAAAATCTGGGATTGTGATACTTCTCTGCTTTTTTTTTTTAATATGTATATATATGCCTGGAAAGGCTTTGACAATCACTTCTTGCTTATAAGGAGGGGGATTTTGTAAAAATTGTAAAAAACGCATTTTTTACAATTGCATTTAATATGCATATGACAAATACAGTAGGGCAGCTCTGTGTGCCTGGCAGTGCTTTTTTCTCTGAGCAGAATCCCTGCCCCAGCCTCCTACTGAGGGGGGACAGACAAAATAAATCTATTTCATGGTTTTTTCTTGGTTTTTTGAGAATAAGCGTGGAAATAAAAATATAACAAGTTGAGTGGTGTCAGTGTTAGAAAAATAATGAAACAAGATGAAGCCTGGAAAGGAGTGGGATTTGGGGTGCTGTCCTAGTTGGGCTGGTCAGGAGCTGTGTCTCTGAAAGTCACTTTGGAGCGGAGACAAGGATACTTTTAGTAACTAAAAGGAGAGAGAGAGAAGGAAGCAAATAGTAATTCCCCACCTCTGCCTTTACAGATGAGTTTTTCCATTTTGTCCTGCTCTGCTTTGCCATTGGGACCTTGCTGGTGTGTTACCACTACTACGCAGGTGAGGGCCGCGGGAACAGGGACGGGGTGGGGAGGGGGTGCATAGGAGGGTCCAGACCTGCAGGCTGACCATTCTCACCCTCGCTGCCCTTGCAGACTGGTTCATGTCCCTTGGGGTCGGCCTACTCACCTTCGCCTCCCTGGAGACCGTTGGCATCTACTTTGGGCTGGGTAAGTACCCCCGCCTCCCAGCCCCCAGAGACTTCCGGGCGGTGATGCTTGCCAAGGGCCAGAAAGCCACAGCCTAAACATTCTTTAAAGATTTCATTATGCCCCTGTTTTCTTTTGACCTCTTTCAAGGTCAATGTGAGGTCATTGGCAAAACCTCATGGAAAAATGGGCAGCTCCACAAAAATGCAACAAAAGCAGTTCAGAGTGGCAAACAAACAGAAATTAGCCAGCTATCGAAAACAAGGCGGCTCGCGGATTGGGTGCTGGATCTGCCGAGTTTCCTGGCACTGTTATTGCTGTTTGAGGTCATTGTTTTTAATAATGATAACTCCGGCACTATTAGCTCAACCCGCTGCCTGAAATTCCACCATTACTCCTTGTTTGTGTGGGGCAGGCCTTTGTCCGAGGGTGGGTGGGGCCGACCCCATGTCCCTTGCCGGGGCAGCCGGCTCACCCTCTCTCTCTCTGTTTGTGAGCAGTATACCGGATCCACAGCGTCCTGCACGGCTTCATCCCCCTCTTTCAGAAGCTTAGGCTGATGGGTAATGTTGGCACTCTTCCTACCTTCACCTTCTTCCTCCCCATCAGTCTCTGGGGTTGCCCGTGAGGCTTAGCATACAGGAAAGAGCAGCACAGGGCCTGCAGTCAGTCCCGCCCCTGCCGATTTGCCGGCTCCAGGGCCAGGGTTGTCTCTTCGGCTCGGTCTCCTCCCCTGGACCGCGGGGGTAATAATACCCACTGCGCAAGTATGTTGTACAAACTGCGGGAGGAATGGGAACAAAAGTCCTGAAGGGTGGACCACAGCAGAAAAGCGAAGGGAATCTGGACGTTTCTCACTCTCTTGTAGAACTTTACGCTAACCCAAACACTGTCCACACCGTGACTTCGTTTGCCTACTAGGCGTGCTTCAGTCATGTTGCACGTGACTGATGAGGAGCTTGAGGCCCAGAGAGGTAGAGTGACTTGCCGAGGCTCACCCAGTTAGTGTGGCTGGGCTAAAGGAGATCCTCTCGCTCTCTTTCTGACCAGCAGCTCTTTGGTTACCATCACGTCTCAAAACGGAGAGGCCGGGGGGGAGGGGCGGGAGGGGGCTGTGTGTCTCCACCCTGGGGATATCTGCCTCCTCTAACCCATTTAGTTCATGGAAACCTGTGGCTTCTAGGGTGACTACATTATCCCAACTGTGAGGGGTATGCAGGCATCGGGGGTGACGTAGAAACGAGGCCTTGGCGCCTTCAGAATCCCAGGCCATCCTGCGGGCTTTGCTTTCCAGGATTCAGGAAGACCGACTGAGGCTGCTGTGTGGCTGGCAGCCAGGCTGAGCACCACCACGACGGCCACGGCCTGTCCCGAGCACACAAGCCACGTTCTGGGAGGCTCGCGGGCCAGCCAGGCTAGAGCAATAAAGAGAGCTCCTTTCCTTCCATGTAGTGTGAACGTTGGCAGCAGCCCGGGCCTGGGGGTCATTCGGGCAGGGCCGGCACGCGATCCAGCTGCCTGGATGAGAGGCGGAGGGAAGGTGCCAGCCTCTGTCCTCCACGGCACCCGGATCGAGCAGGAGGATTCCAGGGTGTCTGTGCCCTCGGGAGACAGCAGGGGAGCCCCGGGCCCCGCACGCTGTAATCTGTGTGGGCTCCTGATGCCTCTCAAGTCCCTAGGCCATGCAGGTGGGCTCTGCATCTTTCGAGTCGCCGAGGAGAGACAGCACGCTGACATAAGGCAGGGCGCCAACATGCCAGGCCCCCAGGGTGAACCTGCTACAAGTGAGCTGTTGGGGACTAAAGCCACAGCATCAGGGCACCTTCCCTCAGCCGCACCACCCAGCACCAGCCCCGCCGCCTTGGAATCCATCCAGATTCAAATAAACATTTTCTTCCCTGGACTAAAGAGTCAGCTAAATGTTCCTTCAGGTTTCTTGAGCATGAGAACACATTTGGAGTCTCCTTTGACCCCATCTAGTCGGAGAGGGCACCTTGTCTGCTGGACAAGGTGTAAAAGGGAATAAATATGAAGGCCCTCAATGGCACAAGTTCAGAAACAGGGTCTTACAAACACTCCTATGGAAAGATCTGGGGCTGTTAGTTACGCTAAGCCCAATAAATACCAAAGGCATAAAACAGGAGCATGTGTATACAAAAATGTATTGTAAACTTGGATTTCATAAATAGAGGTACAGAGTCTAGATAGAAGGAGGTGATAGTAGATCCTACTTTACACGGCTAGTCCACACCAACAGCATGTATTCGGATCTGGATTCGCATGTCAAGGGCAGTCATGACAAGCTAGAGAACACCCAGAAGAGACCAAAGTGAGAAAATAAAGAACAACTGAAGAAATGAGAACTCTTCAATTTGCAGAAGAGAAAAGTGGGAACTTCACTGAGCTCACAGACTCTCAGAGGACATTTTCTCAAGTGTCTTTGATGGTCCAGGTACCGTCACAAATGTTATCTGGTTTAATTCTCACAGCAGCCTTGAGATGTGTCAGTCATCCCCATTTTGCAGATGGAGAAACAGACTCAAAGAGGTTTAGTAACTTGTTCAAGTTCCCATAGTAAGTGGCGGAGCCACGATTTGAACCCAAGCCTTTGTTTTCCTCCAGCTGCCTTACAGAGTGAGGCTAGTCTCGCACCCCCACCCCCACCCCCACCCCCCACCCCCAGGCACAGCAGCCCTGAGGCTGCTGCAGTTTTTCCCAGTGTTTCCCCTGATTGGGGGATTTCTCAGAGTTAGAGAGTATTTTTTACAAAGTGACAGGAGGGGGTGTCTGGCTGGCTCAGTCCCGGGAGTGTGGGGCTCTTGATCTCAGGGCCGTGACTTGGATCCCTGTGTTTGGGTGTAGAGATTACTTAGAAATAAAATCTTTGGGGGCACCTGGGTGGATCAGTCAGTTAAGCGTCTGACTCGATTTCAGCTCAGGTCATGATCTCATGGTCCATGAGTCTGAGCCCTGCATCGGCTCTCTGCTGTCACCCCAGAGCCCGCTTGGATCCTCCGTCCTCCTCTCTGCCTCTCCCCCACTTGCACGCTCTCTCTCTCAAAAATAAACATTAAAAAAAAAAATCTTTAAAAAAAAAAAAAGAAGGGCACCTGGGTGACTCATCAGTTAAGTGTCTGACTTTTGACTTGAGCTCAGGTCGTGATCTCACCGTTTGTGAGTTCGAGCCCCACATGGGGCTCCATGCTGACAGTGCAGAGCCTGCTTGAGATTCTGTCTGCCTCTCTCTTTGCCCCTCCCCTACTTGCTCTCTATCTCTCTCTCAAAATGAATAAAAATTTGAAAATTAAAATAATTTTTGAAAAAAGAAAAAAATAAAATCTTTTAAAAATTAAATAAAATAAAAAGTGGGAAGAAGGCTGTCAACTCTCCTTTGGTAATTGAGGACAATAAAAACAACAAAACCCATCAACCATCAGCATCATTTTGTAAAAGAAACAACAGTTTTACACCAAAGGCAGGGAAATTATCAGCAGAAGCAAAATAGGGTTTTAAATGAATACACAGAGCTTTATGACAATTTTACTGCGTGTCCTTTTTCCTCAAATCACTGAGATCAGGTGAAAAATCATCTTTGGGAAACCATGAAACTAGAGAATTAAATTCCTAAGGACTTTTACATCCTCTTTTTTTTACTCGTGTTCTGAGGCACCTCTCTCAATGAAGCTTAAGGCATTATTTCAGAAGAATAGTGACCTACGGGTAGGGAATGTTCTTCTTTTTTAATGTTTATTTTAGAGAGAGAGAGAGAGACAGAGCATGAGCAGGGGAGGGGGAGAGAGGGAGGGAGACACAAAATCCATAGCGGGCCCCAGGCTCTGAGCTGTCAGCATACAGCCCGACATAGGGCTCAAACTTGCAAACCATGAGGTCATGACCCGAACCAAAGTCGGACGCTTAACCGACTGAGCCACCCAGACGCCCCTGGGAATGTCCCTTACAGTCACAGGTGTGCTGTCTCTGGACACTCAGCCCTGACGTGGACGCCCATGACACGGTTGTCCACAGTTACTCCTTTTTCAAGACTGGTTGTTCTGGGTCCGTCCGGGTTTTAGGAGAAGCTTGTCCAGCTCTGCAGAGAAGCCAGTAGGAATTCTGATGGGGTTGCAATTGCATCTGTAGATAAATTTTAAAATCCTGGTGCTTCTTTTTTAGTGATTTATTACCTCTTTAACATTTATATTAGGAAAAAATTACCTCAAATCCCAGCCCCCAAAATCATCCAGTTAATATTTGGGTGTGTTTCCCATGAGCCTTTAGTGCACAAGTAATTTATTTTTACTTTGGGCCCTTTTCCCTTGCACCTATAATAAGGATTTTTCCATTATATAATAAAGGTATTTCCATATACATCATTTCCAGCCACTGTGCTTTTCATGCTTTGCATAATATTCCCTTTGTACCTGGGTAGTAATATCAATAGCTAATATCTGTTCAGCATTTCTTACATGCTGAACATGGAGCTACACACTTCATGTACATCACATCATATAATCTTCGTGGAAACCCCATGAGGTAGTATCTGTCGGGATCTCCATTTGATTTATTATTTTTTTACTTAAAAAAAATTTTTTTTAATGTTTACTTTTGAGAGAGAGACAGAGTGTGAGTGGGGGAGGCACAGAGAGAGAGGGAGACACAGAGTCCAAAGCAGTCTCCAGGCTCTGAGCTGTCAGCACAGATCCTGACGTGGGGCTCGAACCCACGAACCACGAGATCATGACCTGAGTTGAAGTCAAATGCTTAACCGACTGAGCCACCCAGGTGCCCCCAGGATCTCCATTTTAGAGATGAGAAGATGAGGGCATAGGAAGCTGATTTGTGGGGTGTTGATTTCAGGCACTTGTATACAACGTCCTTCAAAAGAGAATCTGCAGTGTACAAGTCAGGTATTTATCAAACACACAAATAGGACACAAGTTTTCGTGATAGAAATATGAACTCACTGGGGTGCCTGGGTGGCTCAGTCGGTTAAGCGTCCGACTTCAGCTCAGGTCATGATCTCACGGTTCGTGGGTTCAAGCCCCATGTCGGGCTCTGTGCTGACAGCTAGCTCAGAGCCTGAAGCCTGCTTCAGATTCTGTGTTTCCCTCTCTCTGACCCTCCCTGCTCATGTTCTCTCTCTCTCTGCCCCCTCAGAAATAAATTTTAAAAAACATGAAAAATTAAAAAAAAAGAAATATGAACTTACTGACTTGAGGATGGTGTGGGTATAGCCTCAGTTTATGAGAATGTTGGGTCCTTGCAACTGGCTCTGGCACTGCCTGGCTGTGATCTTGGCCAAGTCCTTCTGTGTCCTGGCCTCAGTGTCCTCATCTGTATAATGGGGATCACAGCAGTGCCCACCTCATAGTATTGTGGCAAGGACTACATGAAATCATTGCATAAAGTCCCCCTTTTTTTTTTTTTTTTTTTTTAAGAATCATCCATGGGGCTCCTGGGTGGCTCAGCTGGAAGAGTGTGTGACTTTTGATCTTGGGGTCATGAGTTTGAGCCCCACTTGGGTATAGAAATTATTTAAGTAAATGAAACTTTAAAAAATCATCCATAAAGGATTTTTATTAGTTGCCTAGCTTTATGTCTCATATATTAGAATAATGGGTTAAAAAAATCATGGGGTTTTAATAAAACCCAACTCTTGGCACGACTGGGTGGCTCAGACAGTTAAGTGTCCAACTTTGGTTCAGGTCATGATGTCACAGTTTGTGGGTTCGAGCCCCATGTCAGGCTTTGCGCTGACAGCTCAGAGCCTAGAGCCTGTTCCAGATTCTGTGTCTCTCTCTTTCTGCCCCTCCCTCACTCACACTGTCTCTCTCTCAAAGATGAATAAACATTACAAATAAATTAAAAATGAATTAAAAATAAAACCTACTCTTGGAGCACCTCGCTGGCTCAGTTGGTTAAGCATCTGACATCAGCTTAGGTCATGATCTCACAGTACATGAGTTTAAGCCCCACATCAGGCTCGCTGCTGATAGCTCAGAGCCTGCTTCAGATCCTCTGTCCCCCCTCTGTCCCCCTCTCTCCCCCTCCCTGCTTGCTCGCTCTCTTTCTCTCTCAAAAATAAAATAAACTTAAAAACTTTAATTAAAAAAAACCAACTCTTGATCTTGGCTCAGGTCATGATCTCATGGCCTGTGAGTTTGAGTCTCATGTCAGGCTCCTTGCTGACAAAGCTGAGCCTGCTTGGGAGTCTGTCACTCCATTCCCTGCCCTTCTCCCTCTCTCCCTCTCTCTCAAAATAAATAAATAAACTTAAAAAAAAACTTATGACTGGAGTTTTTTTTCAGGTTTGCATTATTTTATTTGAAGGCAATCTTTTTTTCATTTGTCATTTTTCTATTATTCAAGTATAGTTGATGCATCAAGTCTTATACACAGTTCTGGCACAGAGTAGGTTCTCAATACGAGCATCTTATTGGAAGGTAGTTGATCAGAGCAGGGCCTACATCACATCTCTTAAGTCAGGCAGGCCAAGTCAGCCGGATGTAGAAAAATGGGAAATTGGGTGAGGGGACCGGGAAAGCCGACACCTGACTAAAGGGGGTCAGCTGCTGTCCAGCATGGCCCAGGCAGGAACAGCAGCTAAGTGGTACCAGCCGGAGCCAGTCAGGAAAATGGAACCACACCAGGTGTTTCAACAGAGAGATCTAATAAGGGGATATGTTAAACAGGCACAGGTGGATTGAAAAGGCAAAATGGCCCCTGAGGTAAGAGAGTGAAACAGTTTAACACCTAGGGCTGGAGAACAAAGGAAAGAGGTTTGAGATTTACAACTAAGAAGCTCAGGAGAGGACCCCACAGAGCTGTGTCCCAGACCTCTGTGGAGGGGACACTGCCTGGTGGGTCTGGTGTTCCTCAGGGGGCCCGATGAGGCTGGTTCAGGACCAGTGATGTCAGACCTCCAATCTCTCAACAGAAGCCAAGGTGATTTTTTTGTTGGCAACTAATTTTTTAAATTTTCAAATTCTATTGTAGAAAATGGTTCCTCAAAAAATT